ATGTAAGAAATATTAATCTTAATTTTTTATTTCGCTTCTGTACTCAATTCATTATATGTATTTTCTTTTAAATTTTCGGGACCGTTACAATTTTCATATCTATTTTACTAGCCAAATTAAAATTGAACAAAGTAAATCGTACAACCACGACTCAACAATGATCCAAAATCACAATGTGTTCATTACCTACTAATAATTAATCTATTTGAATTAAGTGATAATTACAAATTATGGGCACCAGTTGCACTTTATTAATGACAACTTATTTAAATAGATAATTTGTTACAATATATAACAAATTTAAATAGCCTTGTGATTCTATTACAAAAACATAAATATTTTGTAATATATGTATTGATAAATTATACATTTCAAGTATCAATTTATATAGTTTAAAAATAATAAATAATAGATTGTTGGTCATACCACATGTAATAAATGATTAAATTTAGTACCATTTATAGGATATGAGAAGTTATTATGTGATGTTTGAAAGAATAATTACAAATTATTATCATATTACTAAATTATGCCAGAACGGGTTACTAATTTGAATATGAATAGTGTAGAAAGTTATGGTAATGTCATTAAAAGTAAAATGTACTTTTCTTGTTTCAAAGCTATGGTAATGTCATTTAAGATTTGGGAATTGGGGAGATGGCCTCCCAAACAAGGGCTTGACACGTGGCTTGCGTGGTTTAATCCGGAAAGCCAAATCCAACGGCCAGGATTGATTCTGCATAGGATATTTTGTTGGAGCATGGCAATGTTGTAAATTGGGATTTTTGTTAAAACCTAGCAGCCGAGCCGAGTAGGTTTTACCGGTTGGACGTACACGTGTCAGAGACCCAGCTGTCGGATCTTATCCTAGCAACTTCATGTATTGTACCCTTAATAAAGTTATCAAGCTGTTTTGTATTTACATTTGAAAAAGAAAAAATTTTGAAAATTTTAAATTGGATTTCAAGTCCGCTCTTCCTCCTGCATGCAGCTGGACCGCACTCCCAACCCTCCCGTTTCAAGATTTTGGCCTCCGAACACTGGGCCCCACATTTTATATTTATTTTTTTCTTTTAAAAGATATTTATCTCTTTTTTCCTTTAATAATAAAAAATAATTAAATTTTGTAGGTACAAATAAAACGTCACGCGTCCGGTACGGGCAAAAATTTTCCATAAAACTGAGTTACATCCTACGGGAGTACGTTTTTAGATTGCTTTTTTTGTAGCTTTGCCTTCTCTTGAATTCAAATTCTTACCCACGTGAATTAAATTTTACAATTCAAACATGCATTTATTTGATTTTACTTGTCCACAAAACTTGTTCATCTTTTTGTAAAGGGAAATATTTCTTACATAATAAAATTCTACTTTTGTCTCAACTCATATTCTATCGCACATTAATTATAAGACAGCAATCATTCTTTTAAGTATTTTTTACCATTCAAAACTTTCATGGCAGTAATTCACTCGGACTTCATCCCAACTCTAACATCAATACATCATCATCACTAAAATATTGACACCGTTTCTAAGGACCTAACAATCAAAAACCAGACCCACTGAATCTGAAAATACATTAGTCAGTGAAATTTTCTCAACTAGAAAAAGAACGTTAGTGAGTGTTCAAATATATACATATCTACCCTTGTATTGACCAGAACTAAAAAAAGTTCCTGACTTACCAGACTAAAGGACATTCTGGCTCTCTCCCTTTAAGTAAACGTTTTTTCAACAGACAAAAACTCTAATAGAATAATACGTCACTTAAAACTCAACCAAAAACAAATCCTTGAAGGTAGAAGCCCAGAGGGGTGGCTTGACGCTTATTAGGCGACAGAATAAAAACAGAGGTAGGAAACAGACAGTATCTAACTACAAAAATGCCTTTACAATATCTCACTACACAACATTAGGGCCTGCATTACAAACCATATTTTAGCATAGTCATTGACAAGGGCAAGCAACATCATGATACAATCAATCAGATATTCTCCTCTCTCCAATAGAGACAGTGAGAAGTTTTACCTCTAGGGAAAGAAGAAACATCACTAACTCATCCAGAAAAAAGAACCAACCCCATCAAGTTCATTGGGTGCGCTGGTAAAGCGGGTGGAGAAGTTAACAAGAGTGCTTTCTTTTATCTCTGGTAACCACTACCTCCTGCAGATAAAGAGCGTTCCCTTCGTCGTCTATAAGACTCATGATACTCATCTGTCTTCCTACTGTAATTAGGGGAACGAGATCTTCCCCGTCTCTCTCGGCCATATGGCTCTCTGTCATGCAATCGGCGAGGTGAATAGCTACGAGATCGTCTGTGACCACGTCCTGCATATTTTTGCCCACCACATCAATGCAGAACATAGATAAGCCACATACTTTTGTTTGGTTTCTGTTCTAACCTTCTAACATTCCCCATTAAAACTAACTGATAGAAAATTTAAGTACTCAAGTTTGCACCCAAAATTAACCTGTATATTGAGTTTTCTTTTACTTCAAATATTAGTCCTAAGCAGGAATTGATGATTTAGCACTTGTCCAGCATATTATGGACCCACATTGGGACATGATACTTTAAGTTAATGCTACAAATACTAGATATATGCAAAAGAAATTCTGGTTCATACCTCGCCTCTCTCTTAAACCACGGTACCGGCCTGGAGTTGGTGTCCGCCCACGACTCCTCTTTGCCTGCAATTTTAATACACGAGGCAAGATATCATCCCAGAAGATCTGAAAGATCACAAATTTATTAAGAAGAATCACAGTGCCTTGCCCATACTTCCTTTTTGAACCTGCTTTGGTTTGTAATAATGTGACTGCCAATAGCCCTG